GAAGCGCGCGGAATCGCTCTAAGTCGCGTTTTCTGGGGTCAGAAGCCAACGGGGCGTATCACCGTATATCTCTTTTGTGAGTAGACCCGGACGCTCTTCAACTCTTCTAACTCCCCAACTCTCTTACTGTATGCATCTCGGCGCTGACTTAGCGCTTCTCGGAGTGGTCTCGGAGCCGGGCTAGACCAGCTTGTCCTTTTCGGGGACTCGGACGATAAGCGGACGATAGACAGACAAGTTCCTCCACGTCGGAGGACTTCGATGACGCAATAGGAGGGAACGCCGGTGCAGCAGACATAGGGAGAACGCAATAGGGACGAAAAACGCAGAGGAAAACGCAAGACCTCATGCCGAGGTCTTCTTAGAACACAATTCGGACGCAACGAGACTTTGAGATGTGAGCTGTGAGGTAAAATTCGCTGCTTGAAAGGAATATACAGGACGCCTAAAGTACTAAGTGACCCGAAGTCTAAGAAACCGCTAAGTCCGAGACCGCCCTAACGCTCCATGCATCTACAATCAGAAAATACAACCAGAAATGTGCCGCCGAGTCTCGCTAAACTCCCAAGCCGCTCGCCAATCGTCCGCTGCATACCGCTCTCATTCCGAAGCATTCTAGGCGGGTCAGGAACCGCCGCCCCAGGGAAGATCCTTCCATCTTGAGCCTGTACAGCGCCTCGGTGTGTTGTGACGACTCGTGCTTGATGACCATCACCTCGAACTTCATAAGGAGGGCTGACCGAGTGTTGCGACAGCACCGGACCGAAACGGAGGCCCACGGCATCCTATCGTACGACGACCAATGGCCGCCGAGTTATTGCGAGGTCGGACGGAAGGTAAGATCAGCTGGTTTGCGTCAGGAAGACCGATATGAGTGACTCAGCGTGTTTCGGCGCTTGATGGATGCACCGAGTGCTGCGACTCACTGCCACGGAGAGAGTAGGCTGAGTTCCGGAGGTTCCGAGGATCGTCGTATCGTATGGAAGGGGCAGGGTGTTGAGTAAGCGTCGCCGATGCCATCAGTTCCGTCGTCCGAGCGCATAAGCAACATTCGACAACCTTGGCGTATCCTGAGTCATCGAATTGAGTCCCGGTATAGCACCGACAGGCATGCGACGCGGCGAGGTGTCCACTGCTCGGCGGTGACGTCAGTATCCGGCGGTGCGCATCCTCGGGGATCGCCGATGTATTGAGTCGTAGCTCGGTGAACGCTCGGAGATTCATCAGTGATCTCAGCGCTTGCCGCATCATGTTGAACACGCCGAAAACGTGTTTTCAGAGGCTAGCGACGTTGGAGGCCTATCAGTGCACCTCTCCGCGGATGGGAACCAGTCGGGTACGTCTTGACTTTGCGTTAGGGCGCGCCTCTTCGATGATCCGGGGGCGGGCTATGCTGCCGATGCTAGCGCGATGCTGCCGAAAGAGGGATAAAGGGCGGGGCCGCTCTGTGGTGCGGTGGTGTCGTGATAGCTGTGGTCGCGCCATGTGTCGATGCGCACTGTACGCATAAGGAAAGTCATGCCAATAGAACTTGCGCTGATCTGAGGTGACGGCGGGCTGTACACCATATGGAAAGGCGCCCTGAGACACTGCCTCGGTTCGGATCGCAGTAAGAACGCTGGCCAACGCATGCCGAAATGCCGATGACTCGATTGAATGACGCCCGACATCCGAGCTACTGAGGAGCCGTCTTAAGTCCGCCGAGGAGCCGAGAGCCTTGTCGCTGGTGCGTAGGGTCGCTAGTGCGCAGAGTACCGACAGTGCGCTATTGAGTCGCTAAGTCGCCGTTCCCACGAAGCGCGCGGAATCACCCTAAGTCGCGTTTTCTGGGGTCAGAAGCCAACGGGGCCTATCAACGCATCACAAGGCCTGATGAATTGGTCAAAATGGTACAGTATTCTGAGTGCCATCTGCCACATTTGAGAGAAAATTACTATCCACTGGCATTGTTTCTTGCAGCAAAGGGTTAAATGCTTGATAAGCCATGAAAGAAAAGTAGTTTACACTACTTTAAGCCAAAGAGGGTGAATTCTCCATGCTATGAAAAGATTTCATGTTGGAGGTACCTAAGGTGCTGGAATCAGTCCTCTGAAGCTGTAGTCTTTAATGTGTGCTGTGTTGATGGGGTCTGAGACCCCAGACACTCTGACAAATTTGAAGTTAAATGAACTTATAGTCAGAGCTTGACTACTGCACAATAGCTCAGTGGTAAGAGCACCACAGTGTGTTATGGGAGGTTGCTGGTTCAATTCCAGCTGTGCCATTTTCTTGGATTAGCTCATTTGACTCTTCATCAGCATGAGCCCATATGTGAGTTGTCAGTTAAAGCTAAATCTCATCTTTCCTGAACTGTGTCCTGGTTTGCTGGCCCATTGTTGAACATGTCTTCATTTAGGTAAGATAGACAGCATTCATACTATACTACTATTTTCACCATGTGACATGCCATGTACCCACCTATATCCAGCTGAGAGATGAAAGTTCCTTGACAGTATTTGCATATTTTATTCTGCATCAGGGAGTAGATAAATAGTCAGCTTCCAGCAAACCTTTCCAAACTTACACAAACCACTCCTTAGATCCCAAGTTGTAATCAATCAAAGAGGAGATACCAAACTATCATGAAAATGTTATACTTTCCTGATTAATATATCAAATGGTAATGCTATGGTAATTGACTGCTGAATCTAGATTTGAAAGATATCCCTGTATAGCCTTATCCTTTCTATAAGTAGAAATATCTCCTTCATATGATGGTGGTTTGTGACTCAAGATTCTGGCTAGTGGGTCATATGATGGGCTTATGTGTAGTGATATCTATGTCCAGGTGTAACCCTGCCAGATTACAATGTCATCAGACTGTAATCCTGCCAGATTAAAATGTCATTGGACTTGCATTTTCAAACTCCATGAACATCTCATTTTCATTGTCACTCCTTGTTCTTTTAGTTCTACCATTACTTGTTGTATCTAGCTGTCTAGCTATACAGTGTCATCTACTCATTTTTGTGTGACCTCACTCCAGTGTTTCCTGGCTCCAACCATGGACAGGATTTCACAGACTTCTCATTTCAGACTTTGTGTTTCTCTTTTATTCTTTGCATCACTCTCTTTAATTACAAGTCCACATTGATGCCAAGATGGTATGTTTGTAGTCTTTACTGCAACTTGTAAGGTGGTGCTTATGGTGCTAAACTGATAATGTGTCCAGATAATCTAATATAAAATGTTGTGATCCCACCAGCAGATTACTCCACGATTTACCTTCACATTTCAGACTCCACACTTTTGTTGCTTCATTGTGGAGTTCTTGCCCTTTTCTTTACTCTATTGTTTTTGCTCTCATTATCATGTACTCTACGCTAGATCAATACAGTGTGTCTGAGCCTGACTACTGAGTGAAGCCGCACACCTGGCTTACAAATGTGTAGCTATGGTTCATGGGCACTTTGTGGAACAAAATTGTGATAAGTATCCAATCTATTCTCTGCTGTGGTGAGACAGGGTGAGCATCTACATCAGTAGTAAAGCCATCACAGGTTTCACTCAGCTAGTATATGTTAGTCTGCATTTTCCATGTCTTTGGTAATTACATCATCATTCACTGTTAGGAGGGAAATAAATGTAACTGGTAGTGGTACTCATGGATACACAGGGAGTGTCCAGCCAATAGTGTTGGGATTGGTTACATTGGATGCTCAGCCACAGGGACAAATATGTACAACCAATCTGGTTTTGCACCACTGCTTCCCCAGTCTGTGCAATTGACCTGCCTTTGGTTTATATATGTATCTGGTGTGCTTATGGCCACTATCTATGCTCCCCTGTATTGAGATCTGCTGAAAAATAGAGTGTGATTGCCTAGTAGTTTTATGTAAACCAAAGACCAAGCTGCCTTCATAGATTAGGATCTGTATATATCTTTATAATCTACTGGTCAATGTGCCTCCTCCAAACAAAGGACTGTGGAAAGCAAAGAGACAGAGTGTCTGGCAATAAAGACTTTTGATTCTGGCTTTGCTGAGGATTTTCTTTTAGCCAATCTTGCTTTTATTCCACACTGACAGTGGGGCTGACATAGATGTTGCTCAAGAAAACATGGTCCAGCCATGCTGATGATCGTTAGCATTCTCCTAAATTCATATCTACATACTAATTATCTTACAGCAGTGATAGATAATACATAGTTAGTTGTAATCTCTAATACAACACCATAGTGTCATTACTAAATAAGGTGATTCCAATCAAAGTCAAATTTTTGAGCTTGTTGTTTTCAGTTGATAACAAGATATGTTGATAGTTAAAAAAGATTGTTTCACATAGTTTTCAAGATGTTTTGGTGATTGCCTAAGGTGTAGATACCAGTTGTGCATTGGGCATGGCTGAGGCATTGGTTTTGAGTGACTGACACTGTACATCCAGAGATTGTGGGTAACATCAAAAATGCAATTTCTGAGACTAGGGTGTATGTATCATCAGAACTGGATGCAAGAGCTTGGTTACCATCATAACACTTTAGGACTTTGTGTGCTAAAAATAGACACATCTAGACCAGGGGTTGTGTGGTCTAGACCACTAGTGGTCATAGGAACACAGTCACCTGACCTCAGTACAAACATCTGTAAACCTGACCAAATAGGCCCAACATAACTATATAACTGTTCCATGAACCTCTATGTCATTCTCACATTGACCTTTTCTCTCACATTCAATTCAACAGATTTCCTCCTCATCCATTGAGGTGCCACATACAACAGCTGCAAGAGAACCTGGTAGCAGAGATACAGATCGGTTTCTGGTAAATAAATGTTTGCTGGCCACATTTCTGACAGCTGACTTCTTCCATTTTCACCAGTTTCATCAGGGTAGTGGCTCCAGTGAAGAGACAGTTCCCTGTCCCTCCAGAAATTATTGACATCCAAGTATTCACCAGTGATGACATCTGTCTTACTTTCTCAGTCAGGTATAGTCACACAACTAAGAAGATCAGATAATCACATTATACAGCTTATGCTTTACATTATCTAGCCTGTCAACATAGATGCAGTCCAAGTGCTTCATCCATCCCAAGTTCTGTGAATGATGGCAGCCTTGTCAATGACTTGCAGTGTACTACCAACAGCACATCTCATACCAGCCCTGACTTGGAGTTCATCTCAGGACACAAGCAGGCTCAGACTCCTGGTGAAGATCAAGATGTTCTCCCAAACTGGACAATCTTGCAAGAGGAGGATTCTGATGGACAATCTGAAGCTCTCACGGATGAACTGCTGCCAGACAATGTCAGCAATGGTGATTGGGAACATGGGTGGGAAACATAGTCTCCAAGTTAATAAAATGGAGTGCTAATATCATTAGAAATAGGAGAATGAAGAAGCCGAGATCTACAAGAACAAATGCCCAGTCAAAAACACAACCAACGAGCGTAAAGAAAAAGAGGACATCAGTAAATCCTTTGTCAAGTACAAATGGGGGAAACCAGCGGTCGAGATTGCTCTTTGATGGTGTCATTATAACAACAACACCACCAACGCCTGACAAGAACATAGATATTTCGGCCACTCCCTCGTCAAGGTCCGTTCTTGTCGGCTGTCAGATCAGGAGTCCACTGGCGGAGTCGAGGAGGCTGCACCACGAGGGATCTCGACCACGCACACCTGCGATCACCTCGCGCAAGCGAAAGCGAGAACCGGAGAGCGAAGATGATAATTCAGTAGTAGGCAGTCTTGATGGACGTCACCGACCTTCATCCTCCACCCCCGACGTCGGAACATCACGATCACGATCGGCTGATCCTTCAACGACACCGCAGCCAATCAGTCTAGTTACAACCTTCAACGCTGCAGCACCTCGCAATAAGCCAAGCGCGTACGAATTTTCTTCTCGAAAACAAGTTCCAGTTGTCGAGATCGGCCCAAACGCGAGTCCTGGCCCATCTCCGCAGCAGCGCGTTTTGCATCCTCATAGGCGGTCGTCCGAATTACGCAGTGTCGATGAGAGACCGCACTCGGTCTTACATGTTGGAGACGCGCATGAGAAAGCTGCGCCGGTGCGACTCCAAAAGCATTTGCGCGAGCAGGCGGAGAGTGAGGATGCCTTGATATCGATGAACACCCGGTGGCTGCGTCAGGCGCTGGAGAACCAAGCGCCTCCGAAGATGGATGGCGAGGAGTTTCGGACGCGAGTGCTTAGTGCTCCGTCGAAAGCTGTCAGGTTCATGGCGACGTTGGAGGAGTCTTTTGGGCCTGGAACGCGCGTACCTAACGCGGTTAATCTGAAGTCGAAGAAGGGTATTTTAAAGGTGAATACCGAGTACGGGTTCTCTTGGTGCGCAGCATTGAGATGAATGAGCGAACGTTTGATCGGGCGGTCCAACGGTCCCTTTGCATGCATGATCCGTCTCTATGAGCGCTTGTGCACCATTTAGGCAGATACTGACTCGAATCTTGATTTGATATATTGCAGGCACCAGCAGCGAACGAACGAGATAAGAGCTCATCGCCGGTAGCCTTCAGCACACACTCTAAAGGAAGCTCGGACCCTCCCGAAGGCTCCCCGGACTATCAAGTTATTTCAGTAACAGGTGGACGGGAACGAAGTAACGGACTATCTGGTCATGCGAACATCAAGACTGCGTTGCCCTCGAGTGCTGGCGAATCTGGCGTTAATCTAAATCCTAAAGAGTCTAACGAGAATATACCGGGATCGTCCAGTAAGGCCACTCATGAATGGATTGCTGCAATTCAGAGACTTGTCAAGGGGAAGGTCGCTAGCACTCGACAAGTGAGTGCCGCAGGATAACACGACAGATGACGATCACACATTGCATAATATGAACAGGATCTGATACATCTGAGCAGCATCTTACAGCATATTAACGAACGCAAAGAGGACACCACCGTGCTTCAGGCAAGTAGCGTGCTTTACGCGGCCTTAGCATGTGCAGAAGCTGATTGGTCTTCATTTGGTGTACCGTGAAACCCATGACGACTTGTCATACACAGGATACGCGGCTCTGGGCAAGTATAGCACTGCTGGGAGAATTACCGGGGGTTCCGTTCGATGATGAGCATAGCTTGCGGGGAAGGGCAACGGCTCTGCAGGCACACTGGCAAAGTCGTCAAGTGCGTCACTATCCGTTGTAGCCAGTGTTTCGCGGCGGTTTCACTTCAATGTATACGGGAGGATAAAAATGGCGGCTCGTGTTTTCGAGGGACGGTTGGAGGCGGATTGAGTCAGAGTGGGGAGGAAGAAAGAGGATCG